TCACGGCATTATTACAAAAAAGGGTCGAAATATTATGTTGTGCGGCACAAAAGTAGGAAATTGAGTGGTAGGAAATAGTTTAGGTTTATTTTTAGAATGCTATAAATAGTAGGAGTTTCCTTTTGTAAAATGTTCATTCTTCCCTCCTCTATAGTATTCGTTGAAGTTGTTATCAATGTCCATTTGTGGCTAATTTCTAGTTGGTTTAGTGAATTGAAGCCCCGGAGTTCATAACGCTGTAAGGTTATTTATTTAACTTTATTATATATATGTTTTTATGCATTTTGAGTATTAAATATTCTTCTAAATTATTTGAATAGTTGTATCATTTAATTGCTAGGGAGGCCTACTAGTTATTTATTTGATATAATTATTTGTTATATTAGATAATGTTGTGCTACAAATTATTCTAATATTCAGTAGCAACTGAGGTTGATTATTGACGGCTTAGTGATAATTGGTCTCGGGTAGAATATTTTCCTAAATTAAATGCAACCGCTTGTGCTTGTGTTATTTAGTTTGTCGGTTTTCCTAGTTCCTATTGCTGCTATTAAATTAAATCTATAGCGCTTGTCTTAGATTATTTAGTAGTTAGGGGTAATTAAACCGCTTGTGCTTTATTTATCTACAACTAAGGGAAAACAGAAATGAAATAATTTCACGACAAATATTCAATTGCATATTAATTACTTTATTAATCAATGATCAGTTTTGAATTCCGGTGGTGGATCTTTACTAACCAAGGTCTCCTATTATAAGTGTTTTCGATATATTATTTTCATTGCTTTATTCGTTCAATTAAATTTCTTGTTTATTTAAATTCTCTTTTATTTTATCTTTATTCTCGATATATTCCAAACCCCCCTACCTTTAATTTGAGCACAAAAGTTAAACTAGTTACTCCTCGTGGGATCGATCCTTACTCCCGCTACTACGTTTGTAAGGTTTTAATTTGGAAGCCTACGACAGCTCACCATATACGCACAGGATTGCCTGTGGAGAATACCCAGCGAAGCAGGAGTGGAACCAAGTTTTTATATTCCCCCCCTAAATCAGATTGAAAGGAAATAATCTTGCGAGAAAAAGAACGTTCAACGAGTGACTGAAACTTATCAAATATAGCATACAAATCAGATTTTGCACGCATGGGATAATACTATATATAACGAGTGTAATCATCCACAAACAATACAAAATATTTATAGCCAGACGCAGAAAGTAATAGCGCCGGGCCCCAAATATCTGAATGAATTAATTCCAAATGATGCGTACTAGTAGTTGGCAGAAGTTCAGGCAACCATAAACTGGAAATTGTTTGACAATTGAATAAATCATATATTCTGTTTTTATATATTGTTAGAATAAAATCATTTAGAGAGAACAATAAGAAGACACCTAAAATTGATGGGGTTCTAGCTCTTGACTGATAGGAATCTGCAGAATACGGTTTGCATCAAAATCATCAAAGGTCTTGCGAATAAGCTCTTCATTCCAGTTAATACCATCCATATTTATAAGAGAAGCTACATCCCAATCATTTGCGTGGGGGTGGGATTCTGTTGATAAAAGGTTGGTTATTATCCAATAACCAAGGTGAGTTCCATATTTTGGTTGCTTTACCATTACGTATTCTAATCCCCAGACCTCCCTGTAGTATTTATCTTCCAGCTAAAATGCTTCTCCAACAATAACTTGGGAAGTATCCAATACTTGCTCCCAAGAAAGAGGAATTAGGATAATATCGAGCTTTGTAAAATTTTCCCACGAGATTATTTGGTGATGTGAGCAGCCTCCACCCTTGCTTGGCTAACAGAGCTTTATTGAAAACCTGCCAATCCTCCAGTTTTTTTGGGTGGGCACAATTTCTCATTTTCTTTGTAATTTAATTGATGAACATGTATCAAACAACCTCTAAATATTACTCCCTCTTTTCTATTTTATGTGTGGTTAGGTTAACTAGACTTAATTTAACTTATTTTTTATTCAATTTTTCATAATATTAAGTTTAATATTAATTTATAAAATTTATATATTTAGAAACTACAATAATAGTACTATTCATTACAAAAAAAAAACTAAATGTAAAAATAATTAAAAATATTTAAAAAAATAAGCAAAAATCCAAGTTAATTTAACCAATAATAATAAGCATGATAGGTAAAATGAGACAGATGAAATACTATTAATGTCTTCGCAACTATAAATAGTGCCAATAGATTGGCTTCACCATAAAAATGTGCAACATTTATAGTCCGTTTAGAAACTTGAAAAATATTTTTTGGAAAATGATTTCAAAAAAGTGACTCATTTTCTAGAAAATAATTTAATTTTCTAATATTTGGTTGAATGTTAGAAAATTATCTTCTTCTTTTTTTGTTTTTATTTGGCTAAAAGTTAAGAAATTGTATTTTTTCTGTTTTGTTTATTTTTCTAAAAATAAACATATAATTTGAAAATTTGAAATAATAATAATAATAATAATAATCTAGAAAGACATTGTTCGCTAAATTGGATTTTTTTCCTTTAACTAGAATAAATATTTTCCTTTGACTTTATTTTCTTTGAATATCACACACTAAAAAATCCGGAAAATGACTTTTGCAAGTCATTTTATGGGTTTCCAAACGGATCCTTATTTGTTTGGAAATTTGATTTAGAGCTGTTAAAGCGGGCTGGCGGGGCACGGCTCGCCAATGCCTGCGTTTTGGTGGGGCGTGCTAAAAAGCTCACAAAAAAAATGGGCCTATGGAGGGCTGCCCCGCCTTAGGCCCACGGACTTAGGCGGTGGCCCGCCAAATGTAACTTGGTTTGTTTGTTCGGTTGTTTATTTTTCTTTAATTTATAAAAAAAGAACATGTATAGGAATAAATGAATTATAATGAAACAAAGTAGTTAATCATAAAATTAAGTGTTGAAATTTGAGAATGGACTACTGATATTTTACAATGAAACAAAGTAAACAATTAAATAAAATAAATTAAACGGACTGAGGAAGTGGTTCGAGACCGGAAGGGTTTCGAGCTCGTGACATCGTTTTTGCAGTTCTGCTAATGACGCCGTCGGATTGTTGGCGTGAAGAAGGGAAGAGATGAAGATTAAAGAGTGAAACTGTGGAACTATGGTCCACAGTCTGTGATTCTGTGAAGCAGGGAATGGGCGGAATTGCAGAGTGCGGGAGGAGGGGAGAAAATGGATTAAGGGGATTAGGGGGCAGAAGGATTTACAAATAAGAATAAAAGGAAGTGGGAGGGAATTTTGGGGGGTTTTGGTTTGAAGTAGGAAATGGAGGGGGAAAGAAATTGTAATTTCGTAGGATTTTTTTTTTTAAATTACATTATTTGTAGGTAGAAATAGAATGATTGAAAATTAAAAAGGAAGAAGTGAATAGAGATTAAAATGTCGTTATATAATCTATCTATCTATCATTATAATAAAGCAGTAAGTTTAGGCATAAAATACTTTCTCGCTCACACAAAATTACGCCGTTTTAAGAGAATATATGCATTAGTTTGAAATTGTTGTTTTCACATTGGTTTACAGTTTCATATGTGGCTTTGTCGCCCACATTTTGCATTGGAACTATACATATCCATCTGATCTGATTCAATTACAATGTATTCAAACAGATAAATAATTAATGTAATCTTGGATGTTAAACCGTTTTGTGCAGCCTTCATAATTCCAAGAAAGTCTTCAATTTTGAAAGACACTATTCAGCATCTATATAAACCTCCCTTGATAGCACTTTCCACTCCCAAATTCTCCATTTATCTAGCTCGAACCACCTGCAAATACACAAAGCAAAAACAAAAAATCTGATCGAAAATAACATGCCATCGCAATACATATCTATTAAAGATATTGGCCCTCTACATACTGGCTCTGATTTGGTAATAGTTGTTTATTTTTATCTTCTATTATATTCATGTTATTTCTTTGTTTTTGTTTTTCTTTTGAATTTTATCATGTTTATAGGTAAAATAGAGGGAAATCTATCCAGTTAATTCACTGCAATGCAGGAACTTTGAATAGATGGAAAGGAAGCAGCAACCATGTTGAGTGAATGAGTGAACTCATTCTGCACCTGGTGTTGATCAAGAAAAGGATCCTATTTCAAAAATGATAGAAGAATGTGAAGATGATGGATCAGATGTGGTAATACTATAATCCTACTATATTGATGTTGTTTATAAATTCTTCAGTTTATTTCATTCATATACTAATTTTTTTTTTTTTTACACTTATAAGCATCGCATGGTGTGAATATTGTTTTTACACTTATAGGAACTAGGAAGCATTACAGGGGCATGAATGGATTATTTAGTTTGAAAAAAGTAAGAGATGTATTAAATTTCCTGTGCATATTTCAAATGTATTATTTCTTATACCTTTTTATCTAAAATTTTATTATGGGATAGGGAGGTTTCTAAGTTAGTTGGAGTCCCAGCAAGCATTTTGTATAACAAATACAATAAGGTATCCCAATATTCTATACTTATTGGTTTATCTATCTAAAAATTTACCGATGTTTTACTAACACTATTTTTATCAAGAAAGGAGAAAATAAGCTTTTGTGAGTGTTTACGTGGAGTCAAGGTACCACAATGGTACTCATCAAATATCAGAACACTTGTGAATATGCAAGATTTGAAATTGGTGGGATTGAAATCTCATGATTGTCATGCCTTAATGCAGCAACTATTGCCAGTGGCTGTTAGAGGTATATTGCCAAAAAGTTGAGATATACTATTATAAGGTTTTGTTTCTTTTTAATGCTATCTGTGGAAAAGTGATTGGTCCAGACAAACTAGATGAATTGTAAAATGGCATTATTGTTACATTGTGTCAGCTGGAGATGTATTTTCCACCTTCATTTTTTGATATCATGGTTCATTTGGTTGTACATCCGGTGATAGAGATCAAACAGTGCGGTCCTGCTTATTTGAGGTGGATGTACTCATTTGAACGGTACATGAAAGTTTTAAAAGGTTATGTGAGGAACAGATGTCACGCCCCAAAAATGAGCATAACCCGGCCGTATTATTACGACAAAAACAAAATCGTTATAATACGAAGCCTGCTAAACAAAATATCAATCACAAGATAACCTAAACAACCTCTTGGTCTTAAAGTTCCTTCCCCCAAAGATAGCTTAATTGGAATTATAATATACACATTTAAGCTTCTAGACATGGTCCAAAATTACAACTTGAAATCCAAGGTCCTACTATGGACTTTGATCTCCACAAAAAGACTAGAAGTAGTCCTCCTCTATCACAAAACACTAGACTAATACCCCATGGTCTTTAACCCCAAAATGTGACCTCCCTTGTCTTAACCTCGATCAACACTCTAATCTGAAAACATGAACACACAAGTGAGCTCAAAGCATGGTACATCATATAACACTTCTGTACCAAATCAAGTATAAAGAATAAAGAGGACCACAAATAAATAAGGTAACATAAGACGTTTAATAAAAAGTATAATAAAAGCGTTAGTATTCTTATACAATTTTATCGCATAAGAGTATCAATAATTCCAGAGTTTTCCCTTCAAGTCATGAATCATAGATCGGTGCTCAAAATATCATAGAAATAAATAAATAAAGATATTACATACCTAACTCACCATTTTACTTTGAGAACTATAATATACTCATAGGATGAGCCAAGATCAATTAATAATATTACACTAGTCAAGGGTAGCAAAGCTACCAATTAAAATCAAGGGAATGTTCCAAATCAAGGGTGGCGAGACCACCAGTTGGAAATCAAGGGAACATTCCAAGTCAAGACAAGGGTGGTTAGACCACCAATATGATTAATACCTTTGAAAATCTATATATACCATGATCAACATTAAAACGCATCAAATTCCCAAATTTTCACGAGATATGTACTAATTCTTTATCATACAAAACATGCCCATAATATTCAAGAATAGCTTCAATATTTTACAGTCACTTAAGCTATGGTATATAAGTTACAATGAGTAAGTAAGTGCAAAGTTCCCTTACCTTAGTAAGCTTTAAGCATAGAAATTCCTTTATGCACTAACCTTCACGGTCACCTTGTCCCCTTTTTTTACTTTGTTTTTGAGCACAAAAGCAAAACCTACTGCCTCCTCACTCTTCTTACGCCAAAAGCTCAAAGTGTCCTTTTCTCCCCTCTTTCTTCTCTACTAAGATTCCAGAATAATCTCCTTCCCCCTAATGGACTTCTCAAGCTTATGATATACAAATATTATTGGGCCCAAGAATGGACTAAGCCCAAATCAAAACTTAACCAACTAAATTATAATTTGGGCCTAGGAAGAATAAGACCTAAAAATATCTAGTTAGCCTATTATTATTATTATTACTATCAAAAATGAAAATTTGTCATTACAACAGATATAGACCAGAAGTATCTATTGTTGAAAGCTATATTGTTGAGGAGGTAACTGAACTTTGTACTGAATACTTGGCGGGGGTAAAAGCTATTGGTCTTTCTAAGTATCTGTTAGGAATATTTTGTAAATTTTGATGAGCCGAATGTATTTTTGAAAAATCAAGTAGTCCCCATTTTTATTCTATTTGAGTCAGTTTGAGTCTACGGAGTATGGTGCACCCATATCATGCAACCCATGTACAAGTCTGGAAGATCATGATTTATTTGAAGAAGTTAAGCGGGATTATAGCTTAACATAATTATGATGCGGAGAAGTTACCAAGAACCATGCTAGAGGAGTTGGAAGAAACGCGTGTGAGCTATGCTAAATGATCCTAAGTTTAAATCTCAAGTGAAGCATTTTTAAGCTTGGGAGACTAGCTTGGACCGTATGAGAGACTAGCTCTAACCATATGATAGACTAGCTTGGACCGTATGGGAGACTAGCTCTGACCGTATGAGAGACTAGCTTGGACCGTATAACCGTATGGGACCGTATGAGAGACTAGCTTGGACCGTATAACTGTATGGGAGACTAGCTCAAGGTCAAGTATATTGGACCATATACCATATGGGAGACTAGCTCAAAGTATACCAAACCGTATGAGGGACCATATACCGTATGGGAGACTAGCTCAAAGTATACCAAACCGTATGAGAGACTATCTTTAAATTGAGACTCTCTAAAAGAGAGACTAGCTAAAAGGAGACTAGCTAGAAGGAGACTAGCTAAAGGAGAATAGCTAAGATTGGAGACTAGCTAAGAATATGGAGACTAAGTAAAATACACAAGTCTCACAAAAGCCATGCACCAAATGGAGAAACATACCAAGTATGGTGGACCAAGCTTAAATTCGAAACAGAGCATCTCACTATGAACAACTATGAAGTTTTTACAGAGGTTCCAGTATATTATTTTACAAGGATCATGAAGGAGAAAATATCTGATATATTTTCATATGAATATCAAAGTTTTTACGGTGGAACCAGAGACGCTCGAAGAAGGCTGATTCGCGGAGGAATTATTTTATACTCAAGCAAGAATCAGCAGATAAATTATTTGATCAACTTGACATGTCAGAGCATTTATGAAGGACAAGAAATATCAAGCTTGCCGCGCCGATCTTATTCAAATTTTGGAGGCTACAAAATTCAAGACACGGCAACGGGCAAATTATTCAAATCATCTGACAAAAGGAGAAATGACATCTACCTAATATTTCAGATCAAGTTGACAATATCTTTTGATCAACTGTAATTCAAAATGGACGATCGAGATCGAAAGTTGATCAACGGGCAAATAGCTTTTACTAGCTATAAATTGTCTAAGCAGACTTGAAGACAGAAGTAGTTTAGAGGGGGTGAAGCGATTGAGCAGTTCAACAACTTGAACAACGGCTAAGACATAGAAGCAAAAGATACAGTTTTTTTTTTTAATTAACCGAAAAGGGGGAAACAGAGCTTCATAGAATTAAATTCAAGTCTGAGTGAGAGAGAAATTTTATTTCTTTGTAATATTCTCTACTGAGTGTAGAAAGAGGGCGGAGTAACTAGAGAGAGTGAAAAACCCTGGTTGAGTGTAGCTTTGTGCGTAGCACTCGTGGTGAAGGGCAGAGTAACAAGAGGAGCTTGTGAAAACCCTGTGAGGACGTAGCTTTGTGCGTAGTTCTCGTGGTGTAGGAGTACAGCTTGGTGCGAAGTACTCGGGAAGGCGGAGTAACAAGAGGAGCTTGCGAAAAACCTTGGAGGAGTGTAGCTTTGTGCGAAACACTCGGAGAATTGTCGGTGGACACTTATTCATTATTGTATCTGGGTGATCGAAGAATAGTGAATTTCCTCCTTGAAGTGAAAGGAGAAGAGTGGACTAGGAGGATTACACCACCTCTGAACCACTATAAATCTCTCTCTCTATTTACTTACTGCTCATATATTTTGTGCATGCTTATTCTAACTGCGAACTAACCCGAGTACGATTTATTGCTTATCTTTATCTGTCTGGGTTTGATAGTTCCCACGTTTGCATGCAAGCCAAACTTTATGTACATCATCTTTGAACCATATCAAGTGTTTCTAACGTGTTGCATGTTTAGAATATCCCTTTGAGAACCGCACTTATAAGCATAACACTTTACCGCTACCTATTCCGCTGCACACTCTAAGTTGTTTATCTTGTTAATGCTTGTTACTTAGAGTTGAAATTACCAAAGTGTTATTTGCCTTGTGTGTTTTCGAAGAAAGTTTAAAAAGTTCGAGAAGTCTATTCACCCCCCCTCTAGACTTCTCGCCATCCTTTCGGGACCAACAAGTGGTATCAGAGCGGTTGTCTATTTGAGTCAATTTTGACTGCTAGATAGATCTCGAAAACTTCAAAATGAAGAGAGATATGGCTCTTGCTCAAAATTTGCTTTTCTCACTTGATAAATTTGATGATTGGAAAATACGTATGCATGTGCACTTATCTGCTTTAAATGATGAAATGTGGGAAGTCATCACCACTGGTCCTATCCAAATCATGGAAGCTAATACTACGACTCCACGAGATCCAAATGCTCCACGATATATTCCAAAGCCAAAAATGGAGTGGACAAAGGAAGATAGAGGGCGCAATAACTTGGACAATATTGCCAAGGATATTTTGTTCAAAACGGTCGATGACACAATATTCCCAAAGATTCGAAAGTGCACCACAACAAAAGAAATATGGGATACTCTTATTAGTATCGGTGAAGGCGATGAACAAGAAAAAGACAACAAACTAACCATTGCTATGAAGAGGTTCGAAGATTTCAAAATGCTACCGAACGAAAGCATCACCGACATGGAAGCTCGATTGATCAAAATTCTTGGAGAAATCATGGATCTGGGAAAAACAATTACCCAGAAGGAAATATCGCTCAAAGTGTTACGCGAACTACTTACAAATTGGGATATGAAGGTGACCGCAATGCGCGATCATAGAGATCTAAGGACATTATCTACGGATAAACTCTTTAGTGATCTTAAGCCGTATGAGTTCGAAATGAATACACGAGTCGAAGAAGAACGCGATGAACGAACATCCGCATTGATGGCCGAACAACCCTCAACATCAAGGTCAGTAGGAAATAATGATTTTTTATCTAACGAACAATTTTCTCTATTTGTTTGGAAATTCAAGAAGTTCATGCGAAAGAACAAAGGATCACCACAAGGAAATTTCTTTCGAGAAAATAAAAGATCAAGAAGGGAACCGGTCGAAGATAACACAAACGTGTGCTACAATTGTAGAAAGCTTGGAAATTTTATGGCCGAATGTCCACACCCCAAGGCGGACAAAAATTCGAATACTTCTCCACAAGTGCAATACAAATCCAAAGAGAAGAAATTCAAAAAGGGCAAACGGAAGGCACTAATAAGCGATCCGTTAGAAGCAAGTGAATCCGAAGAATCATCTAGTGACGAGAGTGATTCATCACAAGAAGATACGGCGCTACTATGCCTAGTGGGCAAGACATCCGAACATGAAGAATGTTATATGACGCGTGAAATCGACGAAGAGGTATCTTCTAGCTCTTTTAGCTCTTTTAGTTCCGTTGACACTTCTTTCCAGACTCAAGAATCATTTCAAAGTCTTATGGAAGATTGTAAAAAGGTCATGGCCACTCATACTCAAATCAAAGAGCGCAGTAATACGTTAATTCTTGAAAAGGAAGAAATGTCACAAAAATTGCAAAATTCTCTAAATGAAATGAGTAATTTGAAAGCCGAAAATGTTCGACTTCAAGAAGAGTGCAAAGCTAGAGAGGTTCGAGAACATAACCTTCGGGAAGTAATCGCATCATTTACAAATTCATCCAAAATCATGGATAAAATGGTAAACATGCAGAAACCCGCTGGAGATAAAGCCGGACTAGGCTACGATCCATCATGTTCTCAAACCCCTGTGGAACTGACTAATTCTACTACTACTTTAATTAATAAAGTCACAGTGGTAAAATTTGTGAAAACTCAGTATAGCACAATGAGACAAGGAGTTGGTAAACAAATAAATGCCCATAAATATGTTGCAAGGCCGAATAAAAATTTTAATATCTCGGATAGGCAACAAAATTTCAAAAGGCAAAAATTTGTATCTCCAAAGAGAACCAACGAGTCTAGTGCAACAAAACCTCATAGGAATATGGGAAGAATTCCGAGAATTGGGGCTGGGAGATTATATCCCTCAGAACAAGATTGGTCGCTTGATGACAAACCATGGACCAAGTCCAGATTTGCTCTTTTTCATAGGATCAAGCAACTATCTGCTTCCCAACCTGCACCGAATCATTATTCGAAAGTGCGTTATGATTATAGAGTTTTTAATGGTTACAAATCACCTACCCTTGGATCAGTGGGATCTAGGTGGATTTGGATGCCAAAAATTACTAACACAAAAGGACCCAATCAAGCATGGGTACCTAAAAATAATTAATCTTTCTTGTAGGAAATTTGGTATTTCGATAGCGGTTGCTCTCAACATATGACCGGCAATAAAGCTAGTCTAGTTGAGTTCAAAAGTATCGAAGGACCAAAAGTTGTTTTCGGTGGAAACGATCGATATGGAATGACAAAAGGAACCGGCGCAATTGTGAAAAATGGTCTACGAATTGATGACGTATCTTATGTCGAAGGATTAAAATTCAACTTGTTTAGTACAAGTCAATTTTGCGATAAAGGATATCTCGTAGAATTTTATAAAGGCAAATGTCAAGTCAAGGACGAATCTACGAATGAAGTCGTACTCGCCGGATCAAGAAAGAAAAACATGTATGTTGTAGATTG